TTTTCGGATACTGGGCAGGTCACGTGGTGCTTATACCATATATTAAGTAGGATTTCGGGTGGGGTTTGGGGCTGAACCCCATACTCAAAATTAAATGCACACTTGCATGCAACTATTCACATATTATGACTAGCTTCACATCTATCTATTTAGATCAGATTTTGACACCAAATGAGTTTGATGAAAACCATCCAGTTTCAGAGCCTTTTGGATTTTGGAATTGGGAAGAAGGGATTGTGACCTTCTGTAAGAATTTCATTTTAAGAGAAATTTCCCCCTATTGAGACCCAGCATAATGAGCTAGCTTGGGGCAGAAGCTGGCCAGGAATTCAGAAAACAGGGACACTGACCTGTTCAGCATGGAGCTGACTCAGAGCCACAGTGTGATGTGACTGTCAGGAGGGAATGGCACCTTCTTACCTATGGGCAAGAACCAAGCTGGGCACTGGAGGACCAATAGGAGTTTTCCAGGCAAAAGGGCCTGGACCATGGTAGTCTAAGGGTGCTAATAAACTCCTCAGAGAAGTGTTTTTAAATGAATAAAATTAAATAGATAGGATGACCAGGGAAACTAACTATATGGGAATGCAATTAAAATATTTCAATAGTGATACATCAGTATATGTATTTCTTTATTAATGTATTAAATAGCCAAACCTAGCATAGGATGTAACTACTAGTGTAATTTTGAAGTAATTAGGAATATGAGTGACATTTCAAGATGTCTGCAGCACTGTAAAGTGATATGACACACTCATGATGTCTGTCAGTGACGGAGTCGCAGTGACTGTTAGTATACCGTGCTTTATCGCCTATATTCCAAATTGACAGGAATGCTAAATTTTAGTTAGGGGTTTAGAGAAAATAATGCCATTTTTCTTTCCCCGGTTGTTCACAGACCACTGACTTCCACTCACAGGCCTCAGGCAGCAGGCTAAGACATCCCTGGTCTAGTCAGAGAGAACAACCCGGGAATGGGCTCAGGTAATAGGAAGATACGGAGTGTGTTCCAGGTGAGCTGGCGTGAAGAGGGAGGAGAGGTGATGGGAGGAAGGGCTGGGAGGTTGTATCTTGAGGAGATCAGGCCCATCTGGATTTTACCTGCTCATCGGAAAAAATTTTTTTCATAATGAAATTTTATTTTCTGTAATGATATGTTATAAAGGAAATACATGCTTGTTTATGGAAAGTAGAGAAGGGGGTGGGGGAAGAGCATCATTTAGTGTTCCACCAGTCAAGACAATCTCTATTAAGATCCGAGTTAATCACTAGTAACCAGGGGTGGTTGTGTGGCGCAGTGGTTAAGGAACTGATGCTAGAGCCAGGGGTTGGGGGTTTGAATCCTGACTCTGCCTTTTTTTCACTTCTTTGTTCTGCTTTTCTCATCTGTAAAATGAAGTGACTGTAAGATTATCTAGCACATCAGGCTGTTTCCAGAATTAAATACATCAATTCATATAAAGTGCTTAGAATGGGTCGTAATTAGCGCTCAATAAACACGGGCTTTTATAACCTCTTCTTCCAGTCACTCCTCAGAGCAGAACTATTTCCTATATTTGCTTAGTTGTAGCCTTCATATCGATATACATATAATTTTATATCTTGCTTCTTTCTCTTAATATTATTACATAAATATTTTTAATACTATTATAAACTGTTCATAAGCATTTTAAATGCCTAAGTAATATTCCATTTGGGTATATGACCCACACTTTAGATAACTATTCCCTTACGATTGGACATTTAGTTTATTTCCAGTTTTCCACGGAAAGTGTTGAGGGGGCTTTGGTGAGGTTCAGTGGCTCCTTATTGAGCACATAACTCTTGAGTTCAGCCCTGTGCTAGGTGTGGAGGACACAGAGGTTAATTAGATAAACTTTCTGCAGGAGCAACAGACCTATGTTTAGGATTATAATTAGCTCCAATTTGGAGAACCGATTGGAAGTGAAGGATCATGGAGACAGAGAAAGCCCTTAGAGGCAGATAGTAAAAGGGGCTGACCTAGAACTGTGACGGTGAGAGCAGAAAGGAGGGGACAGCAGGAAGTGAGCAGGTCAAATGGTCAGAGCCTGGCCCCTGATTGGTATAGCGAGCGAGTAGATTCAGCAAGGGAAGGCAAGGAAGCGTCAAGGGTGACCGCTGTTTGAGATTCAGGAGCGAAGGAGGGTGCAGTGCAGGAGTTAAGAGCTTGGGCTTTGGCACCAGTTGGATCTCCAGGTTCAAGCCCAGCTCTACCTGTGTGACCTTGAACAAGTTACTTAAATTTTCTGAGCATCAGTTTCCCCATCTGTAAAGTGGGGATGATAATGCATCTTCTTCCTGAAGTATGGAGATCAAATCAGATTGTTTATGAAAAGCATGTAGCAGAAACAGTGTACCGGGAGTAAGAAGAGTCATATAGCCTGTCGGTACCACTCCAGGTCCTTTGTATTGGCTCACTTTGATTCTCACAACATCCCTATAAGAGAGGTGCTGTTAATATCCCCATCCTGTAGACCAGGAAGCAGGCCCAGGGGGTTTTGGTAAAGTGCTCCAGGTCCCACAGCTCCTGAGTGACCTAGACAAGACTCACACCCAGACAGTCTTGCATCAGAGTTCCTGCTCTTCAAGACTGTGCTTTGTGTCTCTCTGCCGCAGGCATGCTGAGTGCATGACACAAGAGGGAAGTCCCCATGGCAACACCTAGCAGGGGGTAAGGACCTGATTCTGTAACTCAGGACATCGATCAAGGTGTAGGATCGCCTGGGCAGAGATGAGAGTTTAGAAGCCACAAACAAGAATGAGATGGCCCAGAGAGAGCGAGGCATGGACAGCAGCTGAATTTTGTGGGTAGGCGAAGGAAGAGGGGTTGGCGAAGGAAGAAGTGAGAAAGACCAGTCAGAGGGGCAGCGGAGAACTGGGATTGGATGGTGTTATGAAATTCCAAAGAACAGTGCAATCAGCAGCATCACATGTCCCAGAGAGAGAGAGGCTGAGGTGAGAACTCCTAAGAGGTCGTTGGTGACCCTAGGGAGGTGGATGCAGTAGAACAAGATGGGCTGGGGACCTCGACTGTACGGGGTTGAGAAGAGGGGGCAGAAGTGGCTGCAAGGAGCAGGGCAGACAAAGTAAGTGAGTGAGTCGGGCAGACGCTGGATGGGGTCACCAGACTGGAATTCCCACGCTGGCTCTGGCCGTAACATCCCCAGGATGCGTTTTTTTTAATTTGTAAAATTAGAAACTAAGATCCATCCTTGAGGTTGTTGTAGGAATTTGATGGCCAGTGAACTTGGAGCTCCCAGCAGGCGGGAAGAGTTAAGATGGCAGGGATCACGTGAGGTAATTTCCAGTGAAAGTAGCCTGAACTTTGAAGAGCGTTCCTCAGGTAAAGCCTGTTCGCAGCTACTCTGTCACTGGGGACGGTTCTGATACTTAGAGTTGAGGGGTCCCCCTCAGGCGCCCGCTGCCAGCAGCCTCGGGGGCCGCTGAGATTCGGGATGTTGCAGGATCCACGCCTGAGCCGCAGGCTGGGAGAAGACCTCACAGATCTGTCGTCAGTGTGATGAGTTCAAATGCCGGCATGTGACCCCCTGGTGCTCTACCCCGCCCCCTGTGCCCATCACAGCCCTCAGCTGGCTGTGTGGGCCCGTGGTTAGGGCTCTCGGAGAAAGCGCGTCCAGGTTGCGGGCGTGGCTTTGCCGCTGACGCAGTGAGGATCCTCGGACTAACCCTTTTACCTCCGTTGACTGAGCTGACTCTGGATGGGAGTAGGAGGAAAACGTGTCAGCTCTGAGTTTTGTGGGGAAGGATGTCTCACAGGGCAACCGGGAAGCACGGGGCGTATCCGAGGGGCGGCTCTCTGCTTCTGATACCGCTGTGCGTGTCCTGAGAATTGTCTCATTTTCTCTCTCTGTCTGTTTCCCCTTTTCCCCCAATGCTTCCTTTCTCAGCCTGTAGCATTTTAAAATCTCTTCCAACCTCATGTCCCATCCATCCACTCATCATTCAACAATGATCAACTGGGCATCTAGAAAACATTGTGCCAGACACCGAGGAAAAGCAAAGTGGGGATTTAGAGAGATACGCAGCTCAGCTCTGGCCCTTAAGGTTTTGAAATCTAGTGAAAGGAGAAACACATCTAAACAACCGAAAAAGACACACTTACAAGTGTCTTAGAGCCGACGGACAAACCACGGGCCTCGGAGCCCGGGGGAGTTTGAATTCCACTTGAAGGAGCCGGGGAGGGTGTAAGAAGTTGGCATTTGAGGTGCTCCTTGACAGGTGAGGGGGTGTCTAGGGTAGAGTAGGGAGGAGCGCCAAGGTGAGGCTCAAGGGCACAGAGCGCGCTGGTTGTCAGCAGGGCACCTGACACGCTCGGGGAAGCGGGGGCGCCAGGCTCCCAGCGAGGTGACTGCAGGTGGCATCGGAAGGTGAGGCCCCTCTTGGTCTCTCACCCTCCCTCTTTCTCCTCCTCTCTCTCCTGCTCCCTTTGACTTGGACTGAATCCTTTCTCCTCTCTGCCTGCATCATCCTGCCTTCCTTTGGTCTCTCTGCTTGTCTGCCTTTCTCCCTCCCCAGACTCTTTCTCAGATGGCCGTTCTGTGAGCTGGGCCCTCAGCCCCCGCAGCAGCCATGCCCGGCTCGCAGCCCCGATCCTGCAGGCCAGGCCGGAGGGCGGGATGGGCCGGAACTGCCGTGCGCCTCCGTCCTTGGGTGGCAGCCCAGACAATTTATACACCCTGTTGGCTGAGGCCGTATGTTGTCATAACCTGGGTCATTTCCTCATTTAATACCATCCATAAACTCCAATAAAACTGTCCCGGAGCCCCGTAGCCCAGGGGAGGAGAGGCACTGGGTTTGGAAGGGTAGGAGAGGGGACCCGGGCGGGAGTGGGTGGAAGGTGAGGGGGCAGTGATGGGGGGTTGGGGACTGGAGGACTCCAGGCCGAAGCCCAGTCGCACCTGATGAGTGCCTTGTTTCCTTTCTTGCTCCACACGCTCTGTCCCCGCCACCGGCTGCAGTGTGTCAGATCCTTCCCAAGGGGGTGGTCGCTGTCCTGGGACCATCCTCCAGCCCGGCCTCCAGTTCCATCATCAGCAACATTTGCGGGGAGAAGGAGGTGAGTGCTGCGCCGGGGTGGGGACCATCTGTGGGCTGGCAGCCCGGGCCCGGGCCCAAAGATAGCGTGGATTCTTAAGAGCCAGAAGAGTGAATCAGGGCCTGCCTCATGTCACTCCAAATGTAAAAAGTGGTCCTTTGGTGGCAGTTAGTTTTTTCCAGGTTGCTTAGGTGAAGGGGACTCAGAGGGAAAGTTTCACAAGATTTTCAAGCCATGCTCTTCTGAGTCTTAGGGTCCTGGGTGGGGCAGGGGATGCTGGTGGCGGGGTTAGAGGGAGACGCTGGGGAGGGTGGCGGTCCAGGCGAGGCCAAGAGGGCAGGAGTCTGAGCTCCATGTGAACAGCTCCAGGGCATCTGTTTGGATCCTGGGATTCTGGGGAAGAATGCCTTTGGAGCAAAGCTTTGCTACATTTTTAGTGCTGAAATCAAGTTTGAAAACCTCTGTTTTATAAGTTCTCTTAGAAGAGAGATTTTATTTTGCTTTCTTCTTCATTCCCCAATTCCAGTGTTTACTTCTCCAAAGCGCTGGGTCCATTCCCTCTAGTTCTCATTCCCTGGGAGATAAAGACGGTCGGGGATGAGTTTCTGAGCAGCAGCCTGATCCCTCCTAGTCCATCAGTTCTCTCTCTCCTTTCCCCTCAGAGAGAACAAACTTGAAACTTCAGAGATTCTGTTGTTGGAATCTTTCCTAGTTCTTCTTGGAAGCAATCAGTCCTTCTCCTTCAGATCTACCCCTGGGAGACTGTGGCAAAGTGACCCCGTAGCCTCTTTCTGCTCCCAGGAGCCTTCTATGTAGTTCTTTCGGAAGAGATAGATGGAGCCTGGTGGTCAGGGGCTGGGGACGGGGCAGGGCGGAAGGACAGAGGAAGGAAGGGTCAGACTTGCACCTGTTCGAGGGGCCTGGATGCTCAGCCTTCCAGAAGCTTTAGAGAGCTGCCCCCACAGAGGCAGTGGAGCAGCAGGCAGGCCTCTGCCTCCCCCAGGCCCTCTGGAAGCCACTTCCTTGATGCCTCCAGGTCTCACAGGATCAGAGGGCTTGGCGAGTCCCTGAGGCGTGGATAGGAACATTGCTCTCCTGGGTTTTACGAGCCCACTCTAAGAGTTGCTCTCGGCATGTTAGACAGCTGTGTGATCCTAGCCCCAGTCCCGTGGTGGGCCTTACTCACCACTGCCCTGCAGGCCGCGCCCCCGAGCTCCTTGCCCTGGGCAACGTGGGTCCGCGTGGACAACTCCCCACTCCTCCCAGATGTCCTGAAAGGTGACTCCTGATCCAGCCCAGGCCAAAGAAGTAGCCTCTGTCCCACTGCAGGCCCTTCCAGCATCTCACAGCCTCAGCCCTGGCAAGTTAGACCTGATGTTTAATTTAAATCTTTCTTGCCAGGCTCCAAGTCACAGCTCAAATCTATGGCAGGTTGTTATTTCAGCGATTGCTGTGATCTTCACCGGGTGAGGCTGCCAAGGCTTCAGCTCCCCATTTCCTCTTTTCTGACTCTCCCCTCCTCCCTGCAACCTCCCCATCACACTTTCCTCACTGTCCCCTGCAGTTATCCCCCCGACTCCCACTCCAATATGGCCTCCTCTGAATGGGGGTTCAGCGGCTATTTTATCGCTGCAAACACAGCCCTTAGCCCTGTTTGGCATTTCAGGCTGGAGGCAGAGACCCTGACTTGCATCCGTCTTCCCATCCTGCTGCCCCGGAGCCCGTTCCGTGGACCAGCCAGGCAGGTTGTGCTGCCCAGGGAACGGCTGGACGGTTAGTCCTCCTTTGTCTGATTATGTTCCTTCCAGAGCAGCCTTTCCTGTCCATTCAGATGATGCATTTCTTTTAATATTTTATGAGGCTGAACTGCCTCACACTGATTCCCCTCAGTTTCAGGGAAAAGAAATGGAGTTCTCACCGAGGAGTTTGTTCCTATAAATGCTGCTAACATCTCTGCAGCCCCTGTGGCTGGCCACTTTCTGCCTCGCTGCCTCCCTCCATTGCGCTCACCTCTCCTTCCCCCCCTACACCTCCACAATGACCTGCTGGGATGCGTTTGTAATTGCGAATCAATTGTGGATTGATCTTGGTCCTAGAGAGAGAATCAGCAGGAAGGTCTGGCCATCCCTGACCGGGCCCATCACAGCAGCTGGCTGCATCCCCAGCAGCCTCCAAGATGGGAGTGTGTGTGTTGTGCTGGAGGCTTTCCACCAGGTCCCCCTCCTGGGAAGCCCCTCGGCCCTCACCCCTGCACATGCATCCCCCAGAGCTCCTAGATTTGGGGAGGAAGGGGAAGGGAAGGAGAAAAGGCATTGCCTGAACATGGAATCCGTGTTAGAAACTGAGCTAGTATACCCTTCACACACAGGGTCTCACTTTATCCTCCTAGAGCTCCAGGAAGCACCTGCTGTTACTTCTACGTTAATGAAGCTTAGACAGGTTGAACAGTTTGCCCCAAACTGTACACCAGAACCTAGATGCAAACCGAAGTCTATGGACTTGAAAACAAATTTTCCTGAGTCTTCACTTTCCCAAGTCTTTTCCTTGCTTCATCTCTGGGATCTGTGGATTCAAACGTATCTGTAAGTGTTCCTTCTACTGGGGGTGAGTTAGCTGCTGATGGAACCTGGTAGGCTGGATGGCCACACAGGAGGGGCACGGGTCAGAGATGCTCAAATGTGTAAGCCCGCCAGCCTGGCCACCCTGCCCCTGCCCAGCCTTGGCCTCCATCTTGCCCCTCTGTGACCCTTTTTTCCTTCCAAGGCTCATTTGTTATTCATTCTAGACAGATTGTAGGGGATACAAAATATAAGTGGGAAGAAAGACCTCTTATGACATACTGCAGCTCAGCCTCACTCTTTAGAGTCTTCTGTCGTTACTCACCAGTCTCTCTTCCCAATTCTGTGCTTTTCAGTCTCTGCTGGAAACTATTGGTTGCTCTCTCTCTATGGTGCAAGGGCTAATTCTAGTTGAATTCTGGAATTTTCTCGCTGTTTTTTGCTAAATCTTTATCCTCCCCTCACCCTACTCTCAGAGGAGTTCTGGGCTCTGGCTGACTTCTTCTATAAGCTTAAAAAGTAGCAGAATCCTACAGAGACCATGTCAACATCATCCCAGACTCTGGGCCAGGCAGGCAAAGGAAACTTCTGCAATCATGTCTGAATGACCCATTCTAGGAGCCAGTCAGCATCATCACCAGGAAGTTCTTCTTGCTGTCTAACCTCAATCTTACTCGCTTTAACATCAGTTCAGACCCATACTTGCGGTAGTCTAACCTCAATCTTACTCGCTTTAACATCAGTTCAGACCCATACTTGCGGTAATCTGGCCCTCATAATGGGCACCCTAAGTGAGGATGAGGGTTGAGGTGTTAGCCCCATCTCTGATAGAGGCATGAGCCACCTTTAGCTTTTCTGGCTCTGGGTACCAGGGTGACAGAGTAAAATCAAGGTAGATGGCAGCTTATTATGTTTTAACTTTCCTATTACCTACCCAATAGCCGAAGCCGCCAATAAAGCAGCCCATCACAGCCTGTTAATATCTCTTTCCGGGAGAAGAGAGGCAGAAGGCAGGGACAGTGCCTCCTGGAAATGTCAATAATAGACTCAGACGGAAGCTGACACTGTTCTAATGAAGCCAAAGCAGGTATTATTTACCTGGCTCCATTTGGAGGCTCTCTAGATGGTTTTCCAGCCAGAGGCGCTTCCTCCTCCCATCTCAGGCTTTTATCTAGGAATTTTGTTGGGAGCTGGTTTATGTATGTATCTGTTGGCTAGGCTAGTCCGAAGGAGCCCCCTCCCTTAGTCCCCAGGGCAGTCTTTTTCTCTTTCTGCCATCTCTGCTCTGATTCATTAACTACAAATAAAATAAAATAAGGATTATGCCTTCAAGAGCTGCTTGTCTCGCTGCCCTGCAGTGGACAGTTCCTCTGAGAATAAAGACCTATTGTATTGCCTTCTCAGGGTCACAGACCCCAGCTCTGAGATCCACAGCACATGTATACAGGGTTTCCCGTCCTGCGTCCGCCTGTCTCAAGCATTGTCAGGGATGCCATCTCATCTTCCTCCAGCGGAGCGGGTGCCCTGAGTCCTGTAGGTCCCAGCTCCTACCAGTGTGCGGCAAAGGTCTTTCACACAAGAATCCACCCTCTGCCGCCTGGTCTCACTCTCTGCTCTTTTCTTTCTTTCTCGCTCCTTCTGGACCTTCCCTGCTGTCCGTTTCTGCTCTTCCGCCCAGGTCCCCCATTTCAAAGTGGCCCCAGAGGAGTTTATCAAGTTCCAGTTCCAGAGATTCACAACCCTCAACCTCCACCCCAGCAACACCGACATCAGCGTGGCGGTAGCTGGGATCCTCAACTTCTTCAACTGCACCACCGCCTGCCTCATCTGTGCCAAAGCAGAATGTAAGTTTCCCCAGGCTGGCTCCGCCCCAGACAGTCAGGTCCTGTTGACTTCAGCCTGACTGATTTGCCCCTGGCTGGAGATACGCCGGGAAGGGGAGGGCACCCTCGAGGGCACCCTCCCATCCTGGAGATGACAATTAGACGGTTCGGGCATTCCATGCGTCCTTGGCTGTTTGTCCACGTGTGGATGTGAGAGAGAGAGAGAGAGCGGTCCAGGAGCACCCTTTGCCAGAACTCCCTGGGCATGGGCAGAACACGGAGGAGCTCAGTTTCAAGGGAGACTGGCCAACTGCCAAGCCTTTTTGCATCTGCAAACACAATTCCCACATTTTCAGCCTCATTGTTAAGGAGCTACAAAAGAGAGAGAGAGGGGGAAAATATAAAATTGGATGCATTTGTATTTGATGGGTTGAAGAGCTTCTTCCCTTGGAGAGCGTGTTCTGCTGATGGAACAAAGGTCCAAGGTCAATTCCTGATAAAGCATTTTTCTGCAAATGCAGGTTTTAGAAATGCGTTTTCTCTGACTCTCAGACAATTTGTGACATAAATTTAGTGTTTGTGAGATTTAGCTAATTTAAGCCTGCACATTCCAGCAAATCTATGCATCTGTGTGCTGCCAGTGACAGCTGTGCACCCACATGCAGTCACACAGGTGCTGGCCACTGGCTACCACTGGGGTCCCGAGCCCAAGCCCCAAGCATCTGTGTCCTGTGTGGCTCACCTGTGTAGGTCTTCCCCTGCGGGTCTGGGTGGGCTGCACTGGCAGACGTGCGCCATCTCCATCAGGCTCCTTTCTATGGCTTCTCAGAACTGCTCTGCGTGGTAAATCGGTCGTCCATCCTGAAATCCCTACAGCATCTGAAAACAAGAGCCGCCTCCCTGCCAAGGGCCAGAACTATCTTCTTTAACAGGTTCTTTACACTGTACTGCCTCCGCATGTGCATTTACTCATTTATTATTGAACACAGATTGATTATTTGTTCTGTGCTACCCAAGAAACAAAAGTAACTGAGTCCCAACTCTGTGTGTTTTTTATGTATCATATTTAATTATTACAACCACCCAGTGGGTTTGGAGGCATTGGAATCCCCCATTTTAAAGTTAAATAAAATTCTAAGTCCAGTTCCTCAGTCTCACTAGCCACACTTCAGATGCTCAGTAGCCACCTGTGGATGGTGCAGATAGAGAACATTTCCATCTTCACAGAAATTCTATTGGACAGCAGGCCTTTAGATGATAAGGCTTTTGTGGGAAAAGCATTTTGTGGCCAAAAAGGAGAGAGAAATATTTGGATAACACTTCATTCTATTTCTCCCTCATGGAGATTCGCAGCACACATTATCATGGACACTCTGAGTTGTCCTGTGGCCAAAACAACTATTTACCTCATCATCTTCCAAGTAAGTTTGGTCATATGCCCCAAAAGGATGCTGATCTAAAAGCCCACAGGATGCTGGTATTTGATGGAACACCCTTGGGGTATGCTGCATACCACCTGACCCTCCTTGTGTGGCATCCTTGCACCACTGAAGGGTGTAACAGGGTTTCAAGGATTCTGCCCTGGAAATTTCTGCCACAAGCCCACTCAAGCAGGACTGAACTGGCATACCCCATGTACCCAGCAGGAATGTTGAGACAGAAGATAGGCTATAAATATGCCCAAGCAAAGACTGTCCTGCAGTCCTTGTCTGTGTTGGGTAGAGTGTCTCACTGATAAGAAGTTCTTTCCTGTGTCTAGCCACAATCTCTCTTGCTTTTAAGCTGAGCCCTGATTCCTCTGCTTCAGCTTTTACTGGGCTTTGGGAAGGAAGTCGCTGCCATGTGCTGAGCACTATGCTAGATACTGCTGCCTCCTAGCCCAGGGCTCTTTCCGTTGGAATTGACATTCTCTGACATTCAAATGGTTCTTTGCAGATCGCAAAGCACTTTCCCTTATGTTTTCCCACTTTACCTCCCTCTTCTCCAGTCATTCTAGAGCTGAGCAAAGAGTCTTGGAGCTGCAAAGGGAATAGGCTTAAGGTCACGTGGCTGGTACAGGACAAAAGCAAGACTCTTAACTCAGGTCCTTTGACCAGGAGGGGAGCCAGGGGTTCCTCGTCCACAGCCCCTCGACCC